CCCCCAAGAGCCTGTCTCCCTGTCATCAAGTCATATGGAGAAAAAGATGATGTACTCCATGGCATAGCCAACAGTATCAAATCGATCATGAAAACGCTGGTCGGTTACCAGTGTTTCTTCCAAGGAGACTTATATTTTTAATAAACAGAGAGTTGCAAAGAACTCTGTCTTTGAGACCTTCTTGTAGAGTCCTTCATTGTGTTTCAGAGCTGGTTTTTTGGGCGCTGATCTTAGCAGCTATTGATATGGTCTCTCCAGGGCAAACTTAAGTGTTGATAGTGGTTTTAAAACAAAAAAAAAAAAAAAAGTTGGTGGTTTTTGTTTTTTTTATAGAAGGTGGTCACTGAGAACTTGCCTAAAAGAAAAAGGAAATTAAAAAAAAAAAAAGGGAAGTGGGCTGTAACCAGGCCACTGAAAAGCTCTTTTGGTTGCATTGTAACACAGGTTGACTGTGCTCTGATGACTTAACACCATAAATGTATTTTGGGTCATGGGAGTTTGCTTTACAAGTGCAGAACAAATAATAGGGTTTATATGCTGCTATGTAATTGTTCCTGTATTGGATATAAAGACAGCAAAGTAAATATACAGTCCAGCTAATCTAGAGCAACTTTTTACAGTTTAACATGCTGTTTAGACATCAGAGAGAAAGAGAAAGAAGTTGTAAAGACAACTCGTGTCTTTTTCTAGTACCTTTAAGTGCAGAGAACAGGAGTGTTTTCTCTGGAAGACAAATACGGTTAATGTGGTATCATTACACATTCCTGCCTGAATCTACTCTGTCATTTAGCCGAGCTAATTGAAAGGTGAGAGGGTTTTTGGTTTTTAAATCTTGAATGTCTGGGTTGTTGTTTTTTCCTTTCAAACTGCACAAGAAGTGAGATTTCAGAGGAATCAGGGGTGTTGTACCAAGTATGGGCATACCATTTGTAGACAGTTCACAGTTTATGAAGCTCATTGGACAAATAAAACACAGTTTAGCAACCCCTTTAACTGATCAGATCAACAGTCTTGTAGTAGTGCTTGTCCATAAAACACCGGAAAATTAAACAGTTGCTAAGCAGAGCTGATGCTGGCATTACCACTCCCAAAAATCAAACTGTTTCCTTACATAGTGACAGATTTGGAATAATGAAGCTGTTGATGTAAAGCATCATGGGAACATTGTCTGTTAACGGCTGCCATGGCAGCTGCCAGGCTTCTACGTTCAGTCCGCAGCATTGGTTCCAGTAACTCAGAGTTGCAGAGTGTGCAGGCGCACCTCTCTGGACAATCCATGATGTGTCCTGTGCTGATGTGTCATCTTCATATCCCAAAATGTTAACATTCCAGGGGGGAGAGGAACCTGGAGTTACGTTCGTGAATAAATTATGCCACTCTGGTAGGGTAAAGATAACCACATGCTAAGAGAATGAGGGTGTCATGAAGGGAAAGAAGAACTTGCTCTTTTGAAGCTTTTTAACGAGCTGTTTTTTTCTGGCTAAGGACAAATTGCTCTGCCTACCAGGACCTTAGCACAGTCTGGACTATGCACCTTCTGGGCTGTACAGTAGCAGAGCATTGTCCTGTTAGTGGTCCTGTCTCATTGTGAAATGGGGGGGGGTGGAGTGGAGAGAGGAGAAGGGTCTTTTCTCTCCCAAAATGCCTGCAGCAGGCATGAAACTAATCTGCCCCAAGACACTTCTAGAAAATTAGAGCATAAGCTGCTTGTGCTCTAGAGAAACACGTCTCTGCTGCTGTCAGCAGCTCTGTTTCTGTCTGGGCCCGTGTTAAGCAGGGGAGCACAGGATCTCTGAGGCTACTGGAAGAGGGAAATTAATAATAGCTTTCTCAAAAATTTTCTCCCCATTGGTGCCTGAGACAGCTAACACATCTGTCTTAGATATGTCTTCGCTTGCTAATGATGCTTGGCAGAATAACCTTCAAGGACTGCTATTCTCTGCTTTCCTCAAGCTGTCACAGCAGGAGTCGTGGCACTGAAGCATCTGCTGTGTAGCAGGTAAAGTTATCATGTTAAAGGTGCCTCTTTCCTTGAAGAATCCTTAGGCACTCCCTGACCTTTAGTGTTTATTAATATCCCTTGCCTCCAAAAGGGGGGTCATGTTTGACTTTAGTTTTCTTAACCCCCAGGAAAAACATGAAGAAGTTGTTTGTGTCAGTCAGTGCAGCCTCTGTCAATGGTGCAAGCGCACAGGCGCGCTGCGGGACTCGCGTTACCTTGTTGGAGGCCACTCTCAGCTCACCACAGGCGTCATGGTGGTACTTCCTTCCTTAGTTTCAGTGCACTACTTGGCAAAAGCTTCTGCCCAATCTTCTGATGAGCTTCAGCCCCCTTCCAATTACCTTGATTTCTGATTACTGTGATCACTTCAGTTCTAGGTACCAGTGGTCAGACCAGCCCCTCTTCCTTCCCGCCTCTCCAGAATGCTCACTGCAGCCATGGCATTACCAGCAGCAAAGCTCTTCTCAAACTGTATGCTGGGAGGTAGCATGAGGTGCACCCCAAATGGAAAGCTGCTAGAGCGCCAGTGCTCCTACTGCCGGCGCCGCGGGGTGAGAGGTGGCAGACAGTGCTCCAGCACCTCTGGCTCAGT